GGTACCCCTCCCGCGTGTGAGGACTCCGGAGGGCTCGCGAGCCGTTGCGACTGCATACGCGAGATCAGCCGAGATCAGCCGAGATCCAGCCGAGATCCAGCCGAGATCCAGCCGAGATCCAGCCGAGATCCAGCCGAGATCCAGCCGAGATCCAGCCGAGATCCAGCCGAGATCCAGCCGAGATCCAGCCGAGCGAGATAGCAGCCGAGATGTGGCCTGTGCCCCTCCCCACCCCTCGGCCTCACCCGCCGCCGCCCCCCGCCGCCTCTCAGGCGCGCGCGACCGCGACGGCGTGCTCGAGTCGACGGTGCACGGCAGGGACGGCACCGGCGCTTGGTACGGGCAGGTCGTGCTGGCTGGCGGCACGTCGACCTTGCCCGGTCCCGCCCAGAGCCAGCCGAGGCCCCTCTTCGACGCACCGACGTGAGGCGTGCCCGCGTCGCGTCTCGGCTGTAGGGCTGCCGGAGCGGCTGTCTGCGGAGCTGACGCGGTACGCGCCGCACGACTCGCCGGCCAAGGTGACGGCGCTGGAGGGGCGCGAGCACGCGGCGTGGCTGGGCGCCGGCTGCGCGCGGCGGAGTGTGGGGGTGGGCGGCTTCCCCCCCCACGGCCGCCGCTGTCGGCTTGTAGGCGCTTCAATCCTCGGCTCGCTGGGGGTGATGCCGCCCATGTGGGTCTCCAAGCAAGAGTACGACGAGAACGGGCCCCTCATCGTCCACCGCAAATGCTTCTGAGCGCGCACAGGGCTATTTCGCTCTTCGTGTGTTACTGCCGCCCAGAGTCGCTCCCGTTCGCTCGAGCTCGCCATCCCTTATTTTCGCGACGCGAGACCTGGTTCCACCCACCGTATTCGCGCACATCAGAACCAACAAGAAGAATCGCACGCGCCTTACGGGGACCACAGGATAATAAAATAAATAAAGAAATTGCGGCAACTCTGACGTCTGAGCCGGCAAGCGCAACGGCCAACGCAAAGAACCTTGCACAAGGCCGAGCGTTTTTGATCCCTCGGTCTGCGGGCGCCCGCCCGCCTGAGCCCTGGTCTGACAGCCTGACAGCAGACCCGGACAGCGCCTGACAGTGCCCGACAGCCTGACAGCGTTGACAGCACTTCTCTGACAGCCTGACAGCACGTATCTGACAGCCTGACAGCAGAGTCTGACAGTCGAGGGGCTCTGTCGCTGTCAGGCCCTAACGTGACAGCCTGACAGCTGCCCGACAGCCCGACAGCACACAGTGGCCTGACAGCAGCGCTGACAGCCCGACAGCCCGACCAGCCCGACAGCAGCACAGACCATACACAGGCCGTGCAGCCTCTTTCTTGTGCCCCATGAGGGTATAACAAAACTATTACATGCAAAGACATGTAGTCATGGGATGGTCATGGGTCTCTCCTAGGGTCTCTCTCTCAACCCTCCCGCCCCACCTCTGCGGACCCGCGGCTGTGCTACTACAAATGAAGCTACCAGCTAGCCTTCTGGGGCCCTACAGCCATATGCCTACAGTGTCTGGGTGGGGGTGGCCGCCGCCGTTTGTGCCGCCGCTGCCTGCGCCTGCGCCGCCATCTGCGCTCCCCAGGCGGCCGCCGCTGCCGGCGTGATCACGCCGTAGGAGGGGGGCAGCTGCGTAGCCGCCGGCGTCACCGGCGTCAGCGCCCCCGCCGCCGCCCGGCCAGCGGCCACAGCCCGTCTCCATCCAGGAGGAGTCAAAGGATCGCAAGCTCCGCTTCCACGTCAAGCGGCTCATCAAGTCCCATCAGCAGCGGGGCGAGGATGTGGACGAGGAGCTCGACTTCTACATGGATGATGATGACGGTGACCTTGCCTGCCTGTCACACAGACACATAAGACGTGCATCCTCATCTCTCCCTCTTCTCTTTCTCTTCGCAGTTGCGGTGCTCTTCACCATGGAGGATAGCTCCAAGGTCTTTGCCATCGGCAACATCGAGCAGGTGGCCGTCGCCGACGGCACGGTAGACGCGCGCCGCGCCACTGGCAGCTCGAGCGCAGAGTACCTGCGCCAGCTCTCGATGAGTCAGCGCAGCAACGGGGTCTTCATCAACGACCCCAAGGGCCTCTTTATCCTCCGGTGGTACCGTGAGGTGAAGGGTGACGGGACCCCCCCAGACGGCCCGCGCTACCAGAACAGAGCGTGCAAGTACTACAAGCTGACGAGCAACAACGATGGGGAGGCCTTCCGCTGGACCAGCAACTACCAGATCATCAGCAAGGTGTACCTGAAGAAGCACTCCAGTCTGCCTCTCTGCTATTCTCTCAGTGCGGCAGACAAGAAGATGGTGACGTCCACCATGAAGAAGATGGTGGGACCGGAGGCAGAGTAGAGACTAGAGTATGTGTGCAGTAGAGTCCTGCTGGTCTCCTCTTGATAGTGTCATAAGTGTGGCTGGTGTGTGTCAGAGCCTGACAGCACCCCGACAGCACCACCTGACAGCACCTGACAGCAACAGCCCAACGTCTGACAGCAGCAGCAGCCTGACAGCTCTGACAGCTCCGACAGCGTCTGACAGCAACACCCGACAGCTCTGACAGCACCCGACAGCTACAGAGCCCCTCGACTGTCAGACCCGCACCCGACAGCACCCGACAGCACTGACAGCACCCGACAGCTGGTCTGACAGAGGCACCTGACAGTGCCTGACAGCTGCCCGACAGCCCGACAGATCACCTGACAGCACCTGACAGCCTGACAGCCAGGGCTCAGCCGCCCGCCGCCTCTGAGGGGGTCGGGCCCCCTCTGGGGGGAGGCGAGGGCCCTAGGGGGTACCCATGCGGGGGGGAGATGGGATCCCCCAGCCCGCCGCAGGCGCCGATTTTTTTGGCATTTTTTTTCGCGCGATTTTTTACTTGTTTTCATGGGAATTCGGCGTACTTGCGGCCATGCTATCACGCCTTGCGACATCCTTTCGGCGCTGCTGACCGTGCCATGCTGCTCAACTGACCGCCTGCATAGCTCGCGGCCTTAGTCTTCGGCATTCAGTGACGACCTGATCGTACGGCCAGTAGGAAGGTGTCCTTCCAGCGCGTGCACGCTTCTGACGCAATGCGCGTCACAAACTGCCTCGGATTGGCTGCTGGCACTCTCGAGGCTATGCCTACACAGCCTCGCGCGCATGGGCAGTCAAGAGGACCACGCACCTTCTCAGGACAGCGCCGGTGCCTCTCTCTTGGACCGGCAAACGTGGTGGTCTCGTGTCACCGATGTGGGACCAGTGCGGCATCGCGCCATCGACAGCTCTGAACTGCGCCTCACCACTGACCGGGAAGGCCGCCAAGTGGGTCAGCACCGGTCGCACATTGTGGCAGCAGTCAGCAGCGCATGTCTGATAGCTAGAGCAGCAGCGTCAGGGTCGCAGGGTCGGATCGTGTCAAGCCTCTCGCCCGGCCGGCCGCGTGCAGACCTGTCTGCTGTCTGGAGTGATCTGTCGGCGGTCAGTACGACCGATCAGGTCGGAGTTTTCTGATGGTTGGAGGGTCTATCTGTATGTACTCCTCGAGATCTCTCCAAATCTGCCCTCTGATCAACCGTGATCATTCGGGAAGTTGGTGCTAACGGAGACTAACGGAGCCGGAGCCCCGTTTCCGCACTGAGCTGCGCGGCGCACGGTGCCTCCGGGGCCCCCCGCCTCCCCCCAGAGCGGGCCCCCTAGTCTGAAAACAAAAACAAGCTCGAAAACAGCCAAAATCAGCCTGCGAGAGAGGCACTGCGCGCCGCTGACCTCATGTGGGGATGTGTGCCGACACCAATACTGATCTAAAACCTGGAAACCCTTGTTCAAAGCCGACCCTAAGCCGCTAAGCGCCATCCTTCCTGCTCTCACCTGATGCTGCTTCCCCGCGCCGCCTCCTTGGCCCCTTGGGCGTATTTTTCTACTCCCAGTGGGGGGCCTGGGGCCCCGCCCCCCCCCCCTTGTTTTCTGTTTTCTGTTTTTCAAAACGCCCGCCCGCCCGCCACCCCGAGGCGGCTCGGCCCCCCACAGACCGAGAGATCAAAAACGCTCGGCCCAACGAGATCGCGCACGGCCACGGGGGCGGGCGGACCTGTTCTCAGTATAGGTGTCTGTTTTGTTTATTTATGATTTTTATGCCGCAGCGCGCTGGGATCCGGATCCTGGGGCTCTGTTCACCACGTTGACACCCTAGATGCAATAGCGAATAGGTAGGTAGGTCCGGTTTTGACCGCCCCAGGTTTTGACCGCCCCAGAGCGCAGAGAGAGGGCCCTACAACAGGTAGGTAGAAGGTACCCCCTTTTTTCGTCTTTTTTCGCTTCGCTGCGCGGCCTGGGGTTAGGTAGGTAGGTAGGGCGTTTTGGCGCGAGTCATGGTCGACAGACTCCCTATCTGGGTAGGAGCCGGAAGCCTGGCGCGTGAGGTGCACCATCGGCGGGCGCTTTGGACATCGTTCCAAGTGCATGGTTGCTCCGCCGCCCACCTGCGACTGGGCGTTCGGGAAAGAGAACCTCCGCAGCCGCGAACCTCCTCATTGGTGTGACTACTATGATGCCAACCGATCCGGTTGCGCGGGTGCCTTTGTGTCTGGTGGCGGCGCACGCGACGGTGTATGGTTTGCGCCGTGCGTCTTTGCAGATGGCCACTGCAGGGCATCTGGCGATCGCTCCGTCTGCGCCTTTCCGTCTCTACCTCCGCCTTCTCCGCTCCCGACCACCGAGCACCTCCGCAGCGTGTTTCGGGGGATCAATGCGCGGTTTCGGAGAGGACGACCGTCAACAGAGCTTTTGGAGGCAGGCGTGCTCGTCCACATGTTTGACAAGCAAGGGCTGCTCAACACGAGACTGGTTAAGTGGGGTCGGCCAGGCGGCGGTGAATTCTACTCGGGATCGATCATCCGGACCGCCAAGGCGTTCGTCTGGGGCGGTGGCGACATCAGCGGCGGCTTTGTGCTCGCGCCATCGACGCAAATCCTTTGCGCCTACGACCACGACCAGGGCACTGACGGCCAGGCCAACGGCGGTTGCCCGATCGATCACGAGTGGTCTGGCGATGACCTGCTCGCAGTCCTCGAGGCAGGGGCACCACAGACAGCCTACTGGATCAACGAGATCATCGTGGGAGGCGCCGCGTGGGAGCGCTCGCTGCCAGGAGGTGTTGAGGCCTTTTTCACGTCCGGCGGGCGCGGCGCCGACCAGCTCCGCGCGGCGCACCGCGCTTTCCTCGAAGAGCACGGCCTCTGCGCGTCGCAGGCCTGCCGGGGTCTTGGGGGGAAAAGAGGAGCCGAGATATGTGAGCCGGACGATGAGAGGCATTCGACTCTTGCGCGCCGCAGGTGCCTCTGCTGCGCTACATGGGTGCAGGTCCCGAGGATGCCTTCGTCGACATCTCGCCGCCCCCACCGCCCGGCTCGCGCTGCCGGCCTTGGCTGCTGCCAGCGTGCGCCGCGGGCCGTTCCCCGGTGCGTTGGTACAATGACTGCTCGACTGTGAAGAGCGAGGCCACCTGCGAGGGGTCCTTCTCCTGGTCGCTGGCGGGGGAGCCGATGCCTTGCCACTGGGAGCGACGGGCAGACAAGCTCGTGGGGATGTGCAGGAAACAGCCCGCGGGATGCATAAACTCTCCTCCTCCTCCGCCACCGCCACCACCGCCGCCGATGCCACCCTCGCCCCCGCCCCCGCTGCCGCCACCGCCCGTGCCGCCGCTCTCTCCACCGCCCCTCCCGCCGCCTCCTCCGTCCTCACCACCTCTGCTGTCGCTATTGTCGCCACCGCCACGACGCACCGAATTCCTCCTCCTCGCTGGAGGTGTCTTGCTAGCGGTCGTCTTGCTGGTGTTGCGGTCAAGACGAAAGTCGCCGATGGAGCGGGTGGCAGTGCGCAGCATTGGAGCAACGGATCGCCGCCGGAAGTCACAGAGGGCGCGCGGGTCGCCG